GATGCAAATTGAGCTATTGAAGAAGAGTAACGCTGCTGTACGGAGGATATTACGCAGCAAATCGGTCCGAGCTGACTACTCATGCCACTTGCTACTCTCAAACATCATCAATCACCTGGTTCGGTTGTGTGAGCGACTTTGCCAAGGCAGACTGGAGGAGTGTGGCCTTGTGCACATGGAGTGTCAGTTCCTCCAAGAACAAGTCCACTTTGAGGCCATGCCAGGCTTCTTCGACACCCCTGTCCCGTCAGCTGTTCCCACGCCAGACCAGGACCTGCTGGGGAGTCTGGTCAAAGAGGTAATCGTGTTCACTTCGATCGTGGGCGATTTTCTGAAGAAAAAGCCGCTCTACGGGTTTCAACATCTCGGTCGGCACGAGACATTTCATGTGGAGTTAGAACAGAGGCTGAAGAAGGCCAGTGTCTTGCTGAAACCCTGACGAGGCACTTGGTACGAGCAGGATGCCGTGATATGCGGTGGGGGGGGCTTTGGGCCAGACAAAATGACATACATGACACGGGACAATGTGAGATGATGATACCTGGATGTGCTAGCCCACCTTGGCTTCTTTCATGTTTTGTCTGGATTGCGTTATGGGGGCCCTTTTTCACACCCTACACAGTATCTGTGCATGTTGTCTCTGTTTTTCCGCTCTTTGGCAATAGCTAGGCCACCCACGGCCACAGGTGGTTTACTTACCACTACTAATCAAAATGTCACAAACTTGCCAAGCCCGCAGAGGAGCCACGGAGCCTCCCATGCCTCCCTGCGCTTCCTGCCTTCCTGCCACTTGCCTCTCCCCCCACAAGTGTCAGCTTTTGGCGTCCGCAGTTGTTAGTGGAGAGGAGCCCTACGACTATGAACTAAGTCGTAATGGCGCCTGATTGGCGGTCTCTGCGGCCAAATGGTCGCTTCCTGCTTCTACTCATCCTGCCCATCATCATCCTACAGACCCATCGGTGCCATCTCCGGAAGTTGTTGATCTACGGTACATGCTCGCGGGATGAGCTTGTCAGAACTTGAAGTCTCCTGTTCAAAAGTCCGCCTGGTGATTACAGATTGAGGATCAAGGCTGCCATACTTCCCTCCTGCCTTGCCTGGTGCCAATCGATCGCTTCCGGACCTGCGTCCTTTGGCATGACCCTGTCTGGCGTTGGTTTTGTGCTGTATCAGAACCTCCCCCGGCGGACTTCAGTCCCCCAAACAGTGTCTGTCAAATGTGGGCCGTGACACATTGTCAACGGACTCTGATCTCCAACGCCTGCTCTGAGACCGCTCAAACACACGGTGCAAGATGATGCGTCTCCGACGCTATCGGTTGTTTGTGCTAGTGGCTGTGGTTGCAATCGTGTCTGTCTACCAGCTGACTCGAGTCAGTGACTGGAAGAACCCTTCACTCGAGGCCCTGGTGGGCCTGAGGAACGATCATGCTACTAAACAAATCGGTTCCAGCACAGATTTCTCAGAGACGCTTTCTGACCCTGCTTCCGCGCCAGAACTGCTTGAGCAGCCTCAAGGACAACCGGCGCATCCTGCCCTACCACCAGTTGATTCACCAGGAATCGCTCCTGCACCTCCACCTCTACAAGTGACCACTACATCGCTCTCGAGTTCCTCGACCGCTGCACAGCCTACCGTGACCAAGGACGAGCTGTTTACCCAACAACCGCCTTTCGATGATGAAGGTGATGAAGAAGCTGGTGACCGTGGACAAAGCAGGCATCGAGTCAATCCTCAGCCCGTGGAACAGGGGAGAGCATATTGGATACAACAAGAGGAGCATTTCCCAATACCCGCAGAGAGTCTGATTCCACTGCCGACCGACAGCGATTCCAAGGTGCTCCCCAAAGTCCAATATAGCTTTGGGAGAGAGAACCCTTCGATAAAGACAGATCGCCTTCAGAAGCAGGCCGTGATCAGGGAGGCGTTCGAGCATGCTTGGTTCGGCTATAAGAACTACTCTCTGCCTCACGATGAGCTAAAGCCCATATCGAAAGACGTGGGAGATCCGTTCAATGGGTGGGGTGCGACTCTAGTGGACTCGTTAGACGCTCTCTGGATCATGGGGTTGCGCGATGAATTCCACGATGCAGTTGCGGCAGTAAGCCAGATTGACTTCAAGACGTCGGCAAGAAAAGACATTCCTCTCTTCGAGACGACGATCCGCTATCTTGGAGGGTTGATTGCAGCTTACGATCTCAGCTCAGGGAAATATCCAGTCTTGCTTGACAAAGCGGTTGAACTCGCTGATATCCTGATGGGAGCCTTTGATACGCCCAACAGAATGCCTGCAGTTTTTTATCACTGGACGCCATCCTCTACGTCCCGGCCACACAGGGGCAGTGAGCACACGGTGTTGGCAGAAATAGGCTCCCTCGCAGTCGAGTTCACGAGACTGGCTCAAATTACCCGGGAAACCAGGTATTACGATGCTATTGCACGCGTCACCAATGCCCTGGAGGAGTGGCAGATGAAAACGACTTTCCCGGGTCTGTGGCCCTTGAAGCTGGATGCATCCGGCTGTAAAAAGCCCCAAGCCGTTTCCAAATCGGCAGCCGATGAGGATGAATGGTTGGAAGATGACGCCTCTGTTGGCCTGAAAGATAGCCGCGCAGTGGTGTCTACGGAGGAGGGACCAGACACGGACAGCCCGCGCGAGCCCGGTGATAGCCCCTCGGTCATGTTGACCAAGCGACAACAGCTTTCATCACCACTCTCGGCCAAAAAATCCACGATGAAGGATAGCAAGGTCAATGCGGCTGAACATATGCCTTTGCCGCTAGTCGACGCCGACGCCGACGAAGACAATGATGACCACGAGCATTGCGAAGCACAAGGTCTGAGCACTGAACCTGATTCGACCACCCACACCTACGGGATCGGTTCGATGGCGGATTCCACGTATGAATACTTTCCAAAGGAATATGCGCTGCTGGGCGGCATGAATGAGCAGTACAAACGTTTATACCTTGATGCCATGAAGATTGTTCGGGAAGAATTACTCTTTCGACCTATGACAAAGGAGAACCATGATATTCTTTTTCTGGCGAAGCAGAACATCTCCCCCAAGGCCAAGGATCCTGCCAAGAGGAAAGTAACAATCTATGAGGGAACGCACCTGGGATGTTTTGCTGGAGGCATGTTTGGCCTGGGGGCTAAGCTGTTCGACATCCCTTCGGATATGGTCATTGCAGAGAAGCTCACCAACGCGTGCGTGTGGGCTTACGCGTCCACACCCGTGGGTGTCATGGCCGAAGAATTCGAGCTTGTGCCCTGCGAGAGTCTCACCTCGTGTAAGTGGAATGAAAGCAGATGGTATGAAGCGCTGGACCCGAGGCTTGAAGAAAGAATGCGGGCGGTTGAGACTTACAATGTGCATCAACAAAAGCTATATGAACAGCCACTAACTGGCCTGAACGATGTCCTGGATAATGAAGATGAGTTCGTTGTCTCACAGATGGATCTGGGTTCCCGCTTGAAGAAGAGGAACCCGCAGACAGATTTCAAAGGAGAAGAACGGACAGAGACGATTTCTTCGGTTGATGCGGGTACGTACGCAAAACAAGTGCACCCTCTCTCGTTTACACCGCGGGTCGCGCTGTCACACGAAGAATATGTTGCGGCCAAAATCCAGGAAGAGCGACTAGCTCCAGGGTATACACGGATCAAGGCGCGGGACTACCGGCTCCGACCTGAGGCCATCGAGTCAGTCTTTATTATGTACCGGCTAACAGGAGATGAGACTTGGAGAGACAAAGGATGGGCTATGTTCAACGCAGTCGACAAGGCAACGAGGACAGAGATTGCCCACGCAGGCATCAGGGACGTGACCAGCCGACTGATGGAGCAGCAAGATTCTATGGAATCCTTCTGGCTCGCCGAGACGTTGAAATATTACTATCTCTTGTTCAGTGAACCGGACTTGATCAGCCTCGACGACTACGTTTTGTAAGTGATCTCCACAAGGCTCTGCTGAGAGTGTACCGACTAACCAGATGGATGCAGCAATACGGAAGCACACCCATTCAAACGACCCAAGTGATCATTTTGTCTATGATGACACTTTAATCGGAATATGCACACACCAAGGGAGACAGCATCTTCTGTGTAAAAAGTCTGGGATAGCCACAGCATTTATACGGTGTTTGGAGTAAGGACAAATTGGACAGCGGACCTTACATTTCTCTGGATACTTTCCTTATCAGCAGTCTCGACAGACGGCGCTATAGAAAAGGTGTGTTGTGGCAACTCACCATTGTCCCCCTGTTGTGGACAGGGGGCGGGACCAGAACGCTGGAGAGAGAATTTGCGTACGATGCACTCTCGTATATAGGTGGAGGTGGACTTCTGTGCAGTGACTACATGTACACAGAGCGTGCTTTAGGTTGCATATAGCTAGCCTGTATCATAGGCATGACAGGTACCAGTAGGTAGAATGTTAGGCTAATAGGCGCCTTAGGTGCCCCTAATGAGGTGGTTAGGTCACGCTGGAGGTTCGTGGGCAGGCGAAAGAGTATTGATTGACCCGCGGGGATCCGGGCCGATGCCTAAGCAACGTTGCTTCTCGTTAATGCTGTTTACCTACTTGGACCGCTTAGGCGTCTTAGCTTGTGTGGCCGGCTCTTTTTTGCCTGCCTTCCCTGCCCACTTCTTCCCACGTGCATCCCCGTTGCCGTCACCCGTTACAGACATTGTGACGTTGGGCGTCATGTCATGTGTTCGGAACTCCTCTGGCGTCCTCGAAATCCTACCCCAAACTTGGAATCAGTTCGCTCCACATCAAATCCGCACCCAGCACCGTGACTTGTGAATATCTCGCCCTCCGTACCAACAGACAAGTACAGCTCCTTCGTCGCCATGTGTTGCTATAGGACCGGTCGCTTCTGTTGCCCCGACATCTCTGCGCCTTTGATCGTATGAGGGGAGCATCTGAATTGTTTCTGCACACGCTCCTTTGACCAACTTTGACCTACCAAAGACGATATGAAGCTGAACGTAGCATGGAACACGAGGTTTCTTATAACTTCGAGGACGAGGACCAGTTTTGGACCGGTACGAACACCCCCCCTCCGCAGTCCAGGACCAGGTTGTCTGATTGATTTTGACTCTTTAGCTCTCGAAGAGACAATCTCCCGAGAATGCACTACGCATGATAGCATCGACGATACATTGCGATCCTACATAGAACTCATTGGGTTCTGTCGGGGTATGTGGTACCACACCTTGAGAAAAGAAGCGAAGATACCCAGGCTCATCGTACTCCCATACCAAATCCAGGACGCTTTCTTCTCAGCGACAATGATCTCGTTCGCTGTGCCTTCAAGCTCCAAGAGTCGTCACTCTTCGCGACCCACGCCGACTATATCCGCCGACAATTCGTTCAGTGTCTGATCGAGGTTGGTGGAAGAAAAGCGGGATGCAGGCCAAAACAGAGGCTGATACATTACGTGCGCAGGATGACGAGCCAAACGTCGTGCTAGTATCAACGTCCTTCCTCATCACCCATGCACAATTGCACGAAAGGACATACGAGCTATTGAACGACGAAGGGGCATTCCCAAGATTGATCCATCTCATTTCGAGTCCGAAGCGACATGGCCACGAAGGAATCCACAGACTGCTCATGGAGCTGCTGTACGAGATGTCGCGCATACAAAAGATTAAAACAGGTGACCTGGGTACGTAGGCGATTTCGAAGACACGGCACTCGGCTTCCCCATGGCAAAGACTGATTTCGCCACGTGAACACAGCGCTTGTCGATGATGACTTTGTCAAGATGTTGTTTGAGATTATCGAACAGGTTTCGGACGACGTCAATGACCCATATCACTATCCCACCATTCGAGTTTTGGTAAGCTCACCGAGTCCTTGGATTAAGCGACACGCAATTGACTGTTTCTTCAGCTTGTGCTCAATGAGCAGTTCATGGTTGCTGCCCACGACCCGGCCAATGGTCAGGCTGCGGTCCCTCTTACCAACAAGGTGATCAAGGTCTTGTCTGCCCACGGCAGTGAGTACAAGACCTTTGGGGAGAACATTATCCTACTGCTAAACCGTGAAGGTATTGTCTTCCAACGTGGCTACGATGGCTCTTGTACACTGACGTTAGCAGATGAAACCTCGTTGCAGCTTCTGACCCTCAAGTTGCTCTACCTCCTCTTCACGACTCCCCCCACTTATGAGTACTTCTACACCAACGACCTGCGTGTCTTGGTTGATATATTGGTTCGGAACCTCCTGGATCTGCCTGAAGAGGCATCGTCCTTACGCCATACCTATCTTCGAGTTCTATATCCACTTCTTGAACATACCCAACTACAGTATCCTCCACATTATAAGAGGGACGAAATCCGCAAATTATTGGTTGTCTTGGGCGGAGGCAATCTTGCAGATCAAAACGGCTCCCATGAGGGTTTGCAGCATTGGGGCCATTTTGACGATGTTGACGAGACGACCAAACGGCTCGTCAAGCGATGCGAAGGAGTCAGTTGGCTCATTGATCCGGAAACTGAGCCCCCGGTACAAGCAGAATCTCCAATTGATGAAGGAGCCTCTGATATATCATCGCCAACCTCTCCGTCGAAAGCACTCCCACCGGCCCTTCCAGCACCTCGGAAATTGAAGAAACGAAACTCGTCCAAAGGCTCCACATTGACCATTGGTCAGTATCTCACCCCTCGACTCGAAGGAGCCCGACAATCCAGTTTGAGTATGATGGAGGTTGCAGCGCAAAAAGAGAAACCAGGAGTTATCACCCCAAGTAGGAACCCTGGACTGAAAAATAATCTTCGGGCAGTTATAATGCAAAAGAAGGAGAAACCTCCACCGCCTCAAGCCAGGAGATCTGCCTTTACGCGTATGAAGGCGGAAAGAATGGAGAGCGATGCCGAAATTGCGAAGATAGAGCTACCGAAAGCGGAGCCTGCGCCAAAGGTTGAGGCTGAAGCTCGTACTCAATCCAACAACCATCACCATCGTCACCCACCTATTCCCTTCCATCACCACCATCACCATCATAAGGACCATGGTGTAGCCTCTTCATCGGTGGCGGCGGAGGAGAAAGATCAAGAAAAGGCTCAGCCGCCTCCTATTCCCTCTCATCATAAAGGCCACCATTTTGGCAAGAAGCCCCCACCTACGCCAAAAGCACGGCGCAGGCGTGGTAGGGAGGGTAGTGGTGATAGCACAAGAGAACCAGGCAAATTCAGCTCCAATCTGCCGTCCATTGTCACAACGACAGCAGCCGGCCAAAGAATTGTGGAACAATCCCCCTTCTCACCGGTGGAGAAGGCCTTCAGCCCCTCGGAGCCGGACTCCGCCTCAACAATCGACAGTCGTATGAAGCTCCCGGTCAGCGAGGCGCTAGAACAGGCACAAACAGCAGCCCTAGCACAGATTGAGGAGTCATTGGAGCACGTCGAGCTCAAAGAGGAGGTCCTGGGAGACCTGTCGGTAGCAGAGGGGAAGCCGGAGTCGCCTACAGTGAGAGAAGGTCAGCAGAACGATGCTGCACCTAACAGCTCACATGATCTTCCCCGAGAGGAGGACCCGGTAGACAGGAAACAAGACCGACCAGGCATGTCCCGCGCGCATTCTCAGGAAGAGATCGACCAGCAGTTTCACGATGCTGTTCCCAATCAGCCGCTCTCGCAATCTCAATCTCAAACACACTCTCCGACACCATCCATATTTCTCACCCAATCCCAAACATTATCTCCGTACCCGACTGCTGGAGGGACGACCACGCCTCCCGAACCAAAAACACCTTCCGTCACCATTACCATGGCCACTGGGACGGCAGGAGTCAATACAATGCAGCCGACTCAGACACAGCCACAGCAAATGTCCAGGATGGTCCTCACCCCGCCTGCGCAAGAGCCGTCTCGGGGAGTCCCGGGCCCACAGTATGAATTGGAAAGGAGCCCGTTCCTGACCGACGAGGAGGTCGAGGAAGAAGAGATGGACCCCGTCGACGAAGATGAACGCGAAAGCGAACGCGAACGGGAACGATGAGCAAGGGAAAACTCACGTGGCCCCAAAAAAAGGAAGAAGGGCCATGCGTGTGACAAGCACAACGAGTCGTCAGATACGAGTAGATTGAGTTGGATAGATAGATGGGTATCCGAATGTTTTTGGGTGGCCCTGGCCTGGCCTGGCTTCTGCAGGTGTGTGCGTGTCTGTATGTGTATGTATGTACATAACGTACACAACATGCACACATACTCGGCAAGGAGGTGGATACCTACCTACCTACCTACCTACCCACCTACATACGTATGCCACCGACCAGCCTCCTGTTCACATATACATCCAGTCGTTCATATATATATAAGCAAGCAATTCATTCATCGACATACCTGGGGGTTCTTCGTGTGAAACTTACGGACTGACTGATTGCCTGATTGATTGACTTGGAAAGCCGCACATTTAGTTAGCTACAGTGATTTCACTCCAGATTTGTGAAAAGGAATGCTCGGGTCAACGAGTAAGTATATCAAAGGTGTATTGAACCATCACTTGACAACTGGACAGAAGAGACAACGGTGACGACTAGTTTCGTGGATTGATGCACATGGCCTATCGCCTGCGGTGATTGCTATGAGCTATCTCGTGAGGCCAAGTGACATACATGGCATGAGCGCATAAAAAACACAATAGCCAAAGCTCTACCCATATCCTGTCCTAGACCGGTCATGCCTGCATGCCTGGAACTGATGGTTGAATATAATGCTCTCATACCACCCATATCCCGTCATACGTATTGCACAGTAAACCGAGAAAACTCCATTGATATTGCCGGGAATGCAAGGCTCGAACCGCCATAGAACCATTTCCTCATTTGATGCAGACTAGGGGTTGTTGGATATCATTCAACTGAAATAGCCTCGTGGAACTCGCAATTGAAGAGCATATGGGGGTGTTGTACCGCTGTGCTCGAACTCCAACCTCTTCCTTGTAGATGGGCTATGCAATGCCCGGATCGGGCTGTAGCTCAAGGGCTGAGCGAGTGTTGTTCGCAAGCAAGAGGGTCGACTGATGTTCGGGGTGTTGGGGAATCATGTCGCCGTCGAAAAGAAAAGAAAACAAGATAGAAAAGCTCATCGGCTACCAGCTGGATTTTCCACATCGAAGTCCATCTCGAACGCCGTAGACGCCGCCGCCTCGCGGGAGTAACAAGTTTGTTCTTTGTAATGAAGGTGCAATTTGTCCATTGTAGAGAATCGTCGATCGTGCTTCCAATCTTGACAATTACACACGCGGTTGTCGTACCGTGTGTGGGTTTTCTCCTTGGGTATGCTGAGTTGTCCGTGTAAACTTGCCACTTGGTGCCTCTAACGCCGGGTTTCAGGGTGGATTGATCTCTTTGTGAATTTGTAAATGCTGTGCAACCGGGTGTAATGTGTGCTCTGGAACAAAAGACTTTCGTCGTCATCATAGGATATGATAGAGCGCAAATCAGTGGCCATAAATGCCAAAGTACTGCTCAACACCAAAAGCTCCTGGCGCCTTGTAAGTAGCATCATAGGCCTGGAACAGGAAGATGCCGCCTGGATTCGAGCTGAATGCATCCTTGAGAGAAGAGATCGCACTCGCCTGGTTGGCAGGGGATGGAACAGCCTGGCCATTAGGTGATCCTTGGTATGGCCAGCCGGACTCCGTGACGATGACTTGTTTGCCGTTTGCCTTCTGGGAGATAGGGGCGATCACGCTCTCAACAAAGGTGCCTGCATTATTGGCCGCTGTGTTAGGATCAAAGAAGGCGTGGGCGTTGACGGCGCAAAAGTCGGATGATTGACAGATCTGAGGATTATTCTGATGCGCGGTGAAAGTGTCCACAGCGACAATGTTCTTGTTGAACCCAGCCGCCTGCAGAATGGGACGAGCCACAGCGAGAGCAGCGACAACAGCAGCGGCAGAACCACCGGCATTGACCACTTCATTCCCAATGACGACAGTGTCGACAGGACCCCAGTTTCCGTTGATCATGCCAATAAGCGTGCTCAAATCACCAGCAACATTGCCGATAGTATTAAGACCCAGCATAACTTGCAGACCTTGAGCAGCGGCAGCAGCTGTGGCCACACTAAGATCACAGCCAATGTCGTAGAAGCGAATTTTGGAGAATCCTTGACTGGCCAAGAAGCCAAACTCGGAATCCATGGTGCCGCGGTCCTTGCAACCATTGCTGCCGATGAGTTCGTAGCAGATACCATAGCCACTGCCAGCTCCGGCACTGGCTCCACCCTTGACGCCTTTGTATGAGTTCCCTTTGTCAGCTGCTGCAGCGACGCTTTTTTCAGAGGAGGGGGTATCAGAAGAAGTCGAGGGCTGAATGACGCTCACGACTGGAGGAGGAGAAGAAGCCGCAGCTTGGGAAGAAGGAGCCGGCGGGGCTGGGGGCGCAGATTCGGGGGTGGGAACTGGGACAGAAGCAGGTGATTCAGACGCATGAGAGGCTGACTCGACATGAAAGGGTGAAGCGTGGCCTGGAGGCGGAGTATATGCAGTCGGCACGACCACGGGAGTTGCAGCGGATTGCGAGGCGACAGTGGTTGGAGTTGGGTGATCACGGTATTCGGTGGACAGGACATTGTTGTACTGATCAACCCAGACGACAGCATTGTTGGCCGTGACAGTAACGACGTCAGTGACAGTCGCAAAGTCAGTCTCTATGTGGTGGCGCGCAGGATGCCGATGTCGATGATTGCCTCCTATGTCACAGGTAAGCTTCCAACTAGAGCACATCGGAGACGATGAGAGACTCACCATGGGGAATTGCCAGCACGACCGGGGCGCACAGAGCAGCCAGATGCAAGTTTGTTGCTCTCATAATGGACAGGCCAACGGATGAGAACTGGTTGGAGCAGTGAAAGGAGCGTCGGGACCTATACGGGTGGAAAGCGAAAGTAGTAAGCACTCTGTCGCACCGACCGGCGGGTCTTGAAAAGAAGGGAAGCTTGTCACAAGGTTGATAAGGTGTATAATCATCTTGTATAGAGGAAGAGGGAGATTGTCAGTCGGTGCCCACTTGGCCCATGCACCGTCATCGACGGCTTAAGTAGCCGCCTTTTGTTGGCATAGGCGACGACTAGACAAAGCACAGACAATGATGATGGATATCTGGGCTGTGTCCAGAACGCTGCTTCTGGGAGAGACCAAGAATGCACAAAGGCTTCAGGAGCGACTCACAACGCGAGACGCGCCGGAAGCGTTGTTTCCCTTCCTTTGGTAGCTGCGAACAGGGATATAGACATCATGGCGGAGACGACAAACAAGGAAATGGACCAACTCACCGGCTTGATCTGAAAGGAGTGACTTGATGAAGTCGATAGAGATGGGGCACAGGTCGCGGAAGAGTGAGATTGAATGTCGTTGTTTGGTTATTGCGGAATCCAGGAATGTCGGTTGGAATCCGGGTCCTGAGCGGCAGAATTTATATCTGGCACCACTGTCACTTCACCATCTTTTCACCTTGGCGAAACCGCTCAGAGTGTCACTCGGCCTGATCAGCTGCTGCAAGGCGAGCCGGGTAAACACGGTCATACATGGGCAACAACATGGTAAACCGAACTTGGACCATGTGCTGTGGAGGGAAGCATTTTCGCGTCACCTCGATCACTTCTAGGCCCGAGTCTGGCCTCTATTTTGTATCTAGTGCCGTTTGAGCTGTCGAGAGAAGTGTCATACTAGGCTGTCAGTGTCACTCGAGGCGAGGCTTTCTCCGAGTATGATGTTGATGCGATGTAACTCAACCGGTGAGCATATCCCTACCTTCTGTTGTTGGGTATCTTCTTGCTTTCGACCGGTCAGTCAGTAAATTATCAGCAACTCCATCTCGATAGGGCTTATAACGTTCCATACTTAGAGCCTCTGGATCGATTAGACCAAAGAAGCCATCATTGGAAACGACATTGGGAACTTGCGGTTGCACTTCACTAGAGTGCCACCGACCGCGCTTGGAACTCAATACACCCCAACAGTAACAAGTGCAATTTACATAGGCCTAATGACCCATGGCGGTACACAAGCCGCCATCGAAGAAGCCCTTGGAGTATGAGACGAGGCGCAAACCGAGAGGTAACGTTGACTCTGGAGTCGGAAGGGAGTTTCAATCTTGGCCGGACTGGGTTTAGCCTGGACATTATACAGCCTCGTCAGCCTCGTCAGCCTCGCCAGCCTCGCCGGTCCGCCTTATTTCCCCACAAAGTGATATAAATAGATTACATACTCCCAATGCTCATGCATGCATTTGATCTATCCGGTATCATCAGTCATCACCCTGAATCGCTCTGGTGCCCGCAATTATTATCTTCCTGTCCTAGACTCCCATAGACGTCGTTCCGGCTATGCCAAATCTTGTCCTCTCACAAAGCCCCGGAAAAAATGAGTTGCAACCCAATCGTCAACCGCCTCGTTCACCGTAGTCTCTGGCCCACTTCTCAAACTCTTCCAATCCCTTTTTACTCACACTCGGTCGAATGCTAGCTAAACTGGCTTCGAAATCCATCATCTGAATTGGCCGAATCTGCTCCTTAGGAGTGTACAGCAGGGCTTCGCCGAGATGCCTCAGGGGGCCCATGGCGGCGTCTTTCGCAAGAGCTGTAATGTCGGATCCAGAGTAACCTGATGCGGAGCAGTGAGATTAGTGTGACAAGAGTAGGGTCAGGAGCGTTCAGGAACTTACCCTCCGTTAGCTCCACCAAGCGAGCGATGTCCTCTGGCCCTAGATCATGCTTTTGATGCCCAAGTAACGTTCGAATTTGTGTCTCCCTGGTTTCTGCCTCTGGCAAGGGAATGTATTGTCTTCTCACGAATCGCCGCCTCGCTGCATCATCAATGTCCCACGGGCAATTTGTCGCTGCAAGCACCAGCACTCGACTAGCGTCCCCCACAGTCGTATCCTTCCCAGCTGCTGCTCTTTGCAAGTCCGACCACTGGATGAGAAATTCTGTCTTGCTCCGCCTCGATGCTTCGTGCTCGCTCGACCCGCTTCTGGCACTTAACAGGGAATCGATCTCATCGACGAAAATGATACTCGGCGCCAGAGCCTTCGCCAACGCAAACAAGGCTCGGACGAGCTTCTCTGATTCACCATGCCATTTGCTCGTCAGACTGCTAGCACTGATGGCGAAAAATGTGCTTTTGCTTTCAGTAGCGACAGCCCTTGCAAGCATGGTCTTACCGGTCCCTGGTGGGCCGAACAGGAGCATCCCTCGAGCAGGCTCTCGCAACCCCATAAACAGATCCGGTCTAAGAAAAGGGTATACCACTGCCTCCTTTAACGCCTTTTTGGCAGCAGAAAGCCCGGCAACGTCATCCCAGTGAACTTCATCTCCCTTGACGACAATTTCGTTGATGATTTGCTTGGCGGCGTTTTCATCCACTCCTTTGGGCAAATTTTTGAGAATGTTCTCCATTCTTTTCTCCTCCGGCGACAGACCATCCTCTTCAGGAGACTCCCCATCCGTGGAGGGTGGAGTGATTGTGTTGGCACTCGCGGTCCTGTTGCCACGGCCTCGTCTCGGCCTGTCAAGGTTTCGTTTAGGTGCGTCGTCTTCGCTGTCAGAATGTGGATCCCTTTTTTGGGGAGAGCGACCTCTTGTCTCAAGCGCTGTCCCCGCCGCACCAACTGGTTTGCGGGATATTCCCGTCGCACCACCAGAAGATCCAACTTTTGGGTAAGCTCTCTCAAGGATATTTCTCGCGAGAGGCTGGGGCACGTTATGTGCTCGCGGAGGATACTCTCTTCGATAGGTAATCTCTGGTGCTTTCGGCAAATGAACAGGAGATCTGGTTCTTACTTGGGGACTCGCTTGGCCGACGGGTGACATGTGTTGTGGAATCGGAGGCGTCTTCTCAGGTTCCGAATCGAGGTCGATCAGGCTAGGTGCGGAATCTGGATTCAATTTTAGGCTTTCCATAGATTTGTTGATTGATGATGGTGGTGGTGCAGAAGCCGAGGTTGGGATGTCACGCGTGGAATGCTGTGACAAGTAATCAGGAACACTCAGTAGAGACGACGCATTTGACTTGCGTTGCTCTTCGTATCTGGCTGTCGCATCTTGGTCAATACTCCGTCTTGCAGCTGTTGCGCTGAGTCTGGCTTCGATCGTGGGGTCTGAATCTGGCCTCTGGTTGGGCTGTGAGTTCTTCCGTGGCTGAGATTCCCATGCCAGACCAGCTGCTTTCATAGTCTCTGTTCTTCTGTCACGGTTCGAAGTTGATCGATACTTCATGAACCCCCTCCTCTCCGGGCGTAGTGTTGTCCGCATCGTTTTCCTGCCATGATCGGGACTCGGACTTCTTGAGGCCTTCATGCTCGGGACGGGTAAGGTGGGAGGAGGACCCAAAGGCGACGACCGAATCCGTGAAATAGGGGAAGTGCTGTCATGTGCCACGGTCTCGCTACTCCTGGTAACACCCAGTTGTGGACGTGGAGGCAATGCAGGTGTCGCATTGGGTAGCTCAGACATTTGCATTGGTGGTATCGTCTCTCCTCCAAGCCACGAGCCAGGCTGTTCAGATGTCGGGGGCGTGGATATCGACGGGTGTCCTCTGCTCTTCCCGAGACGCTTCCTTCCACTGCTGCCATTGCCGCTCATATTTCCATTGCCATTGCCGCCTCCGCCTCCGTTTCCGTTCTTTTGGTCTGTCCTGTCTTCCTTACGAGATTCTATGCCCAACTCTTCCCGGCTTCTCTTCAAAGTCTCTAGGAGATCGACTCGTTCCTTACACTGTATCTCCAGTTCTCGCAGGGAGTCGTATAACGCCCGCTCTGTTTCCGACCGGGGAGAGTAATTCGATGAGAGTTTGTAGGCCCTGTAATGGACGATTTGGTCGAGCGCTGCCTTCCATGACCGGAGAGCCTCGGTCTCATTGCTCTGTGAGGTGCCACTGTGTTAGTGCAAGATTATGGAGTTGGAACATGGCGTTTGCATTACCTGGCCTTCGAAAAAGACCGCCGTAGAACATTGCAGATAGGCCTCATCGTAAGTCTTTTGCATTGACGAGGAAGGCTTGCTCCGCAACATCTTGTAGGGATTGCGAGGATGCGAACATGCTCAGGCCAGACAGGAGAAGAGGACGAAGTTATGGCATAGGACTTGTGACTTAATCGGGCGTGTGCAGCGAACGATGGCTGAGCCTCGAAAGGATCTGTCGAAATGGGCCAGAAGGCGATGCGCAAGGACAACTGCAAACTAGGCACTTGAGTCCCGCTGTCCGTTGCCCACTTCCCACTTAACCCACTGTCCCAAGTACACAGCCTGCCCCCCATACGTCACCTGAACAATAACAGTTGCCCTGCAACCCCCATCATACGAGTCCTCATTAAACACGAGGCTCGTCCTTTTGCTTGCGTGAGGCCTTCCAGATTCGCATTACCTCTAAAAGACTTTACATGCGAGATGGCAACTGCACTGGCAGAACAAGGCACGTGGACTCTTGCAAATAAGGTAAACACCGGCACGACCACCACCAACACACTATCGCTCACATAGCATCTTCAATTCTCATTGCTGATTAGCATGGTCTATCAGATGATGGAAAGAGACCGACAAACAGTTGGTCGAAACGCTCATTCCCATCCCACTTTTGGTGTTATGCCATAGATGTACAGTATTATCCCAAAATCCCTGTCCCCCAGGCATCGACAGGTGAAAAAGGGCAAGGACCAGCGCCCCTGCTCCCGTTGCCATAACGCCCTTTAGTTTTTGCAAATATGCATGAGCCCTTCATGCCATGGCAAAGGTTCAGCATCCTCTGTCGAATAGAAATGATTGTGATCATGCTTGAACAGCAGACACAAGTATGAGTACCGCGGCCGACGACCTCCCAAACACACCTCTTCTGGGTATCTTGTATGCGCAAGGATGTTATGAAATACCATTGACGCGCACTTCGCAAGAGGCATTAGATCATGCTTAATCCCTCATTGATTCTGGGAGACGGAACTGCTGAAGCGATGTGCGTTGAACACGAGATCGATCATAACTTATTGGTATGAGATGTCTGTTCTTCCCGAAGCGTCCTCTTGAAGTAAGCCTTTGCCATTTCATATGACGACCTAAAACTTTGTCAGATTGTATGGATATAGACAGGGACCGTTCTGGCCTTACCAGCAGATGGCGGTGCTTGGCATGGTGGTGATAATTCGAGGCCGCCAACCTCTCATAAATCCCCTCCAGCCGAACTCTTTCTTGATAATGGACGCAGCGTGGACTAATCCTCGTACATTGCGTATCTCGGCTTGTTGACTCAATCCTCTCGTCTGGAGCAAAGTCTTGATCACATCCAGCGGAGTGGTAATGCCGGCCGCAAAGGCTCCGGCCAAGCCACCAGCCACGCAATGTGTAATCGGATCATACTCTTTCCGGGGATTCATGACTTTGGAGAGAGATTCGTAGGCCATGAATTGCGTAGCCGTGAAGGGAACTGTCATACATAGTGTCGTAGGGTAGGATACGTAGAACGCAGAAAGACCCTCAGCGCGCCAGACGGAACGGGCGCATTGCGATATCGACCGGTAGGTCGATCCATGTACCTGCATCCGTTGTTTTATGACTGTCGCAGACGGTCAGCATCATGTCGAGAATTTTTGTGCGGGATCTAGAGTGAGTCTATACCATCAAAAGGATTCATCAAAGCGTCACTCGCAATGGTTGCGCACGCTCCGCTCGCAGCTGTAATCTCCAGTTAGCACCTCGGCCGGCCCCATTGCATGCCCGCCAACTCCAGAGGTGACATACCAGCAGCGAGAGGATGATGTTTGCCATCTGCTTTGTTCCCACCTGCAAATTCTTTCACCACTTCGTAGGTGCCAAAATATACGGCATGAGCAGGGCCTGTTATCGATCATTAGATTCGGACGCAGTCTGTGTCGGTCGGATTTGACGACGCACCTGCACCAACAATGACACTGGTCACTCCTCTCCATAGCGTCCGCAGGCCTTCTATTCGATATATCGTAGAGACTGCATGTGAAAGCCCCGTATACAGGCCGCCGGCTGCAGGGTTTATGATTTGCATCCGTGTCTGATTTCAATATCGCATTAGCATTGTATTCCCCGCCAGTGCCGGAAGGTAGACAACTGTGTACCTTCATCAAGTCCACCGGATACATGACTGTATGTTCCTGAGACAATTGTCAATCTTTTATCTCTATCTCTTGATTTTATTTTGCGTACAGCAATGCCTGCGAACGCGCCGGCCAACATATTGTGTCCGAGACCGTAGTTTGGTGGTAGAGCTTCATACCTGCGAGAGTGTCAGTGCTGGTTCTCACCATTCTCGACAAAAAAAAAACACCACTTACTCATATTCTTCACCAGGTACTGCATCCGGGCTGCTCGACACTGACATATTCTCCGCGGGCAATGCCGCTGGGAATTTGGCTGACGCCGCCACGGTTGCAGATGGTATTTTTGTGCCTGCGATCTGCAATCGTTCCACCGAGGACGAGAGGGTTGCTTGGAATAGCAAAGGAAGTGAAGCGACAAATCCTGCGTGACCGGGAGAACGGCTCTTGCGAACAGGGTATGTCGAAGTGAGTGTACAAGTAAAAAAATCGAACCACAGCAATATCAAGTCAGAGCCAGGGCGAAATAATGGCCCGGGCGAGGCACTCAGATCGCTCCAAAGATTTTGGGTCGACCTCACGGCTGCTGCTTAGAATTTTGAGCCAGGGTTTCTTAAGCTTGGGGCTGGCTGGGGTTAGCTAAGATGGCTGGTTGGTTGACGGGCACTGCGGCTTGACAAAGAGTTCACCATCAATGACGCCCCTAGGTGACTCGGTGACTCTAGAGTCCTTCTTTTGGGACACGCACTTGGGTTATGATGCCTACCTACTCGTACAGTACAGAGGTCTTACTACTCCCCCTGCCTGCCCTTGGCCGGGTCACCTCCGCGGTCTGTCCGTGAAGGTGTCGTATGAAAGCTGCCACTCTGCGGGCGGCGACTCCTTCGCTTTGTCTTCCGATCTCGCTCTCTGCTCGCTGTCTAACTCCTATTCCGGCATCGTCTCCCTCGCCCTCGCCTCGGCGTCAACCTTCTTGCTCGGTCGTAATTCACCGACATCACAACAAGGTACTGTACATTCGGTCTCCCAGGCGGGGTTGAAATCGCCCTTGTATTTTGTGTCTAGGTACCTCGTACGTTAGTGATGACTATCCCTACTAAGTGTCGGAAAAGTAGCGACTCCTCCTACGTCGCTAAATTTCCGTCCCTCCACGTACCGCATCCACAAAATGAGATTTTTGAAAAAGCGTTTATTCATGTGTCCTCGGTATAGCGCATCCTTAATGTCTGTCGCAACTAAGGGAATACACTGTATCGCAATACACGTAGGCTCACTCTTGAGGAGTTCCAGCTGCCAACCCCCTCTCGTTCCAGACATGCACTCTGTTCTGAATGAGTAGGAAAGTAATAAGCCGACCCTGCTCCATGCATGAATAATGCTCCCAACGCCCTCTACCGTAACAAAACTCTCGAGTCAAGTGAAAAAGCCCTTGATCTGAGCGCCATCCGTTCATGACAATGCATCCAAATTAGCCTTTCCATCAGGGAACGCCTCGCTAGCACAGCCGTCAACCTGCCGCCAGGTTGGTCATGCGTAATCGCCGTTAGCTATCTAGGTATTCATGATATATCATAGTTCAACATTGAACTTCCATTGGTCTGTCACAATCAGTCAGCAAAAAGTCGCACCAAATTATTCGGGGTCAACAAACCTTTCTTCAGATTTTCGGCAGTGTCGCTCAGAAGGATCTCTCGTCTCCGGTTGCAGTAGGTTGTCTTGTCCAGAATCTCAACCTTCAAGTTGCCGAGCTCATGCACGGGCTTCTCGAACATCTGACTCAGGTTTTCTACCGCCATTTCCAAATCCTTTTGATTGTCCTCGAAGATCTCTGTCATGTTGTTGCGAGCAAGATAAAAAGCAAATGCATAAGTCCATTTCAAGGTCTGGCGACAATTTTGCAGGGCTTTGGAGGCAGTGTCGAGAAATTGAACTTCAATCCACGACATGTTAGATTGGGATTGGAGGCTTGTCATCTTCTTTTCGGTCTTCAGCCACAAGTCTTTGTCGAGTTTGGCCGACTGCTCGTGGTTGGCGTAACGGTTGTAATAGTGCAGATATCGTTCCAGCGAGTGTCGAGAACGTGCCTGAGCATCACGAGCATCGGTTCCTGACTTCTCCTCGAATCGGTTGCAATTGTACCAACTAGTTCCATGCTCCGACCAAGGGCCCATACACATCCAGCAAAACTCGTGTTTACATTTCCGGCAGGTCATATGATTGCAGCCTCCATTCTTCTCGATAGTTGAATTGCACTTCGGGCACTCCTTGGTGTTGGCGGAAATCCAGTTCGAAGTTTCCGAATCATCCTCGCACTTCTTCAACCATTTCTTGACGAGAGCACAGGGGGCCGGGCGGTGATCGGCAAGCGTGCACCCAAAGCAGAACATGTGGTCGTGAGCACAGCGGACAGTCGGGACAATCCGACTGAGGTCTCGTTTCCTCACAGGACAATCCACAGCATATTCACATTCGGGAGCCGGGCACCACTTGAGATTGTCCTTGTCGTCCACATATGTTCTAGTGAGCAGGACATGGTAGCGGTCCATGACACTCTGGTCAACCAACAGCCTCAAGGATTTGGAGTCGACGATCCGGTGGCAGCCATCGAAGGGGCATTCGATTCTAGCAGCTTCCCCTTCGTCTTTGACTTTCTGGGTCAGGTATTGGGTATAACAGGTGGTACAATATCTGTGGTCGCATTTCATGGCATAGGTCTCCAGGTCTGGAGAGTCCTCAAAGCAGATCTCGCAAGTGAAACCCTTGACCTTCTTTGTCTTTGGTGCCTCTGTAAACGTGGGACCCAAGCCAGCGGCCTCGAGAACTTTATCCTGGTTGTCCATGTATGATTCGATCAATTTCTCCTTGTTCCATCTCATGAACCGAAGAAGGATAGCGGTCTGTTCCACAGGTAACTCGATGATGGATGACACTTCCTTGAACTGTTGTTCTTGCTGGGTGTGAATGTCTTCCGGGCTGAGGACCTTGTAGTCGACTTCGTAGGGCTTTTGTGGGTTTGTAAGGATGTCTTTCTCATAGCCAAAGCCACCATCATGGTCTTGATCGAAGTCTATGGTGAGTGATCTTTATCAGTTCTCTGACGCCACTGCAAACAAAGTGGGGAAATACTGACCACCTGGTAGACTGGCAATATCGCTGTCTTGTGTACCTTCATCAAAATCAATTTCATCCCCACTCGGTGGATCCGACATGAATTCGTCTTCTGAATCCATGGCCTTGGGAGACGGCGAGCCGCGGTCGGTTATGGGAGTCGACAGACGCTGCGCAGGGAGATCGGAGGTCTTGCGTGTTTTTATGGGACCGTTGCTTGACGCGGCAGCGACGCACTCTGGAGCCTTTCTTTTCTTTGATTGAGGTGTCGTGTTGGCTTTGATAAGGGCAGCTGCGTCTCCAGATGAGACAGCAGGCTGCGATTTTGGTGAGGGGATGACCGGAGAAGCAGGTGACCAGCGTCTCAGAGACCACTCAAGTGTTCCGACAGGTAATTGGCGGTTGTCTCAACTGGCACAACGCTCAAGGGACAGGGAAGACAGTTTCTGGCACATATCAAGACTATTTTTAAGAGTTTGGACGGGTAGGAACAAAGATGTCGAGTCGAGGCCAAATAATGGAAGTGAAAATGGTTTCGGAGTAACAAAGGAGACATAGGGCCGCCTGCGGGTGGTACCAGAGCCAGACTCACCAGGTACTGGGGGATGGAACGGGGCGGGCGGCGGGCAACTTCAGGTTTGCAGGGTGGCGGTCGCCAATTACTGATGTGATCGTCATACTCCAATTTGCCTGACACGTGACTGGAAAGGAACTGCAAAGCCTCGTCTTCAGGTCAGTACCTCGTAGATATTTTAACTGCCATTTTGATCCTTACTGCTAGGCGTCCATTGTCCAAAAACACACCATGTCTTTTATGGTTCTTCCCAGCAAGAAATCTGATGACACGTGGCGTTGACCGATATTGGAAGGATGATTCATGAATACATGGCATATATCACCCATGGGCAGAACAGCCACTTGGCAGACTGCTCATTCGTCCTCTTCCTCGCTTTCACTCTCGCTCTCAGCGTTTTCTAGCCAGTCGATAAATTGCGAGCTTGGTTGTCTTACGGCTGCCATCTCTGGGTCATTGTTGGATCTTTCATCGGCCCACCATTCGGTGAAGGCCTCTTCACCAAACACCTCAAGATCATAGAGGTCTTTGACGACGAACAAAAGGGTCTTGCCGCCATCTTTCCGCTTGGACAATTCCTTTTGGGCATCAAGCAGAAACGAGACTTGTTCTTCGGTTGCCTGTTCTGCGCCTGTTCTGCGAACAAGGGGATTGTATGCGGTAAGTATCCGCCTGGTTGCATCTGCAGCAGATAGTCCAGCCTCAATTTCCCCATGAATATGCCTCATAAGCGCCACAGCGACTGCTTTGCGGACTTGTGTCTCATCTGCTCCGCCACTGAACCTCAAGCCCATCAACTCGCTAAGCATATCATCCACGTGCTTCCCTTCTTGCATACGCTGGGTGAGGATCGCCACTGTGTCGTGTTGAAATCGGTCGGAGGATTCATCGCCAAAACTTTGACTTCGTGATCCGCCTAGAGAGGAGATTTCGTCTTCAGACATGTCCGAGTCCAGGGTGGACACTGAATCCGCAAAGTCCGGTCTGTTGTATACCAGTCTCGAGAGCTTGGAACTCAGGTAGTCTTCCTCGTCCTCCACGTAAGCATGACCTTCACCTGCGTCACCAACAAACATGGCATCATTTTTCACTTCTCCATCTGCCCGCTGTGGTGTTTTGACGATTCTTGACCCGCTTGGGACTGTGGTGCCAGCGGCGATCTTAACGCCAAAAGATATCAGAACGCCTTCTTCAATGATGCAATCATCGCCTATGAAAGCCTCGTCGCCTATGATAGCACGTGAAATTTTGACATTGTTGCCAACAGACGCATCATCCCATATGTAGGCAGCATCAATCTTGGTATTCCGACCAATATGACACCGTTGGCCGAGTATGCTGTTCCTGATGTCGCACCCTGCACCGATGGTGGTTTCGGGACCGACTATTGTGCCTGCTTCGAGCTTCGTGGGTTTGGCGACAATCACCTTCTTGTCAATAACAACTCCGTCCTGCAAACGCTCGTAGTGTGTATTGCCGAAGACATTGTTTTCGACTGCAATTGATGCGATTACACCTTGTTTCAAATCTTGAGATATGGCTTTATATGACCAGAAATCTGCCGCCCGGGCGGCGTAATGGTCCTTGACGATATATGTGTGGATCGTCTTGCCATTCAGTTCCCAGTCCTTGAGAACACCAAAAAGAAAGTCTTTTCGAGGTGACTGGTTGTCAAAGTTGTCCGACCACAGGCTGAGAACATCCGGCGTGCAAATGTCGATTCTGCAGTCGATGAGGTCCTGTCGAACCTCTAGCTCAGGAGTTTTCAACAATTCCGGATCAATGTGGGAGGTGAACTGACTACCTGGAAATGCTTCCTCATAGTGCAGACATCTATCTTTGGTTGGGTCGATGACAAAAGTTGGCACTACTCCGCCACTGTGGTCGTGAATTCCTGGCTCAGCCTGCCTAAGAACCATGGTCATGATGGCATTTTTGTCCTTTTCTCGTCGGGTCTTGTGCTGTCGTAGAGCCTTTTCAATGGGAAAGTTTGCGATTATATCACCACTAACCACAATGAAGTCTCCAGCCATCAAGTGCTTTTGGTCGAGATCTCTCATTAGGTCACCCACCGAGCTCGCAATGCACCTCAGCAGGATTAGGCTCTCAAAGGGTGAGTTGGAGGACTTCCATCGAGACCCCTCGATGTAGGATTCCACTTGATCGGCATGTGCCCCGGCATAGACATAGACAACTTGGACTCCTGCACTTGCTAGATACTCGAGAGTGTACTCAATCAGCGGCGTGTTGGCCAGAGTCAGTAGACATCTAGGTTTCTCCAGGGTAAATGGGGCAAATCTGTCTTCGAACGTATCTGCGACGACGACAGCCTGTAGAGGATCTTGCTTGTTGTCATCTGCAGACCTGCCTCCGCCTGCAGATCTTGATTGTTTGGGTGGCATAGCTGATTATTGGGCTGCTCGATTTCAGTTTCTTTAGTCTATGCTATGAATGTCGGAGCCTGAGGGAACGTGAATTCGTGACGAGGAATATGTTCTGCAGTCGCATATTAGGGCAGTGATGGCTTGCTCGAGAGCAATAATATGAAATGACTTCTACCCGAGTTTGAAGGGCACGACTCCCTTGGAAGATCAGCCTCGCAGGGACTTGGGCAGATGGAACAAGGCCTGAAATGTCGTGAGTCAATTATGACTGGTCAGGCACTTTGAAATTTCTGGAGCAGATTTCCGGATCTCAGCGATGGGGGATTGTTAGGGTGGCAAGGTGGCCCAGTAGAAAAATAATAGTGGGTGAGTTTTGCTGCAGTTGTCGATTCTTAACTGCGCCAAGCCTCTCCCGCAGCGAACAGGGGACAAGCATCCCAGGCGTCACAGGCGTCAAGCCCCAATTCTTACCTCGTCTTTGGGAGGGTGCACCAAATGTGAACCAGGTGCTTGGTTACTGTGTACGAGGCATGTAGTAGGGGGGCCCAGGGTCCAGAGGTGCGTGAAATAAGTCGTGCGTCATAGTCATGGGAAAAGCGAGAGTCGCCCCCAATCGTTGCCGACCTTTCAACTGCGCCCGTGCCTGATTAAGATGCACTTTTGGATCCATTATTCGTATATGTCGTTTTGGTTGTTGTCATTGTCCGCTGGTTCTGCCACTTGCTCATTCCTACTCTCTCAGACAATTTGAATTTCTGGCTTGCATTCCCTACCCTAGATTCGGGATATCACCTTTGCCTCCTCTCTACTCCTCGAGATTCCACCTCTGTCTGATTCGATCTGTGTCGCTCGTTGTAACCATCACCGCTACTACCCCCTCCAGTAGTCAACCTATCCTCCCTTTCGTCATGTCGACCGAATCCCAACCGGCGAATCCGCAGATGGAATTGGACCCGAAATATGACGACTATGACTTCCCCACGACTGCCCCCGAGAACGAGTCGGGTCATCCTGGCCATACCACCAAGGAACAGGATGCACAAGTGCACCAGCTAAGGGCTATGCTGGAACAAGAAGGATACACGGAGCGGCTGGATACTTTGACTCTGTTGCGCTTTCTTAGAGCCCGCAAGTTCAATGTCGAGAACAGCAAGGCAATGTATGGTTTTCTACGAACAATTGATATAAGCTAGAGACTGATAAAAGGGTTCCAGGTTCATCAAGAATGAACAATGGAGAAAGGAGTTTGGTACTGACGACCTGGTTCGCACATTTGACTACACAGAAAGAGCTCAGATGTTCCAGTACTATCCACAGTACTACCATAAGACGGACAAGGTAGGGCCACAATGCGCGGGTCGACGGTATCCAGTATCACTGACAGATGTCGACAGGATGGGCGCCCTGTGTATATCGAACAATACGGCAAAATCGATCTGAATGCCATGTATAAGATCTCTACTGCTGAACGAATGGTGCAAAATCTGGTGGTAGAGTATGAAAAGGTGGCCGATCCACGACTGCCCGCTTGTTCGCGCAAGGCAGGCAAACTCCTCGAGACTTGTTGCACAATCATGGATATGAAAGGGGTTGGCGTCGGACGAATCCCATCCGTCTACGGCTACCTCAAGTCCGTCAGCGCCATTTCCCAAGACTACTACCCAGAGCGACTGGGCAAGCTATACATCATCAATGCACCTTGGGGCTTTGCCAGCGTCTTCAGCTTCGTCAAATCGTTCCTTGACCCAATCACGGTCGCCAAGATCCACGTTCTTGGCTCGAACTACCAAAAAGAATTGCTGCAACAGGTCCCCGCAGAAAACCTCCCCAAAGAATTTGGCGGCGAGTGCGAGTGCGAAGGTGGCTGTCAGTTCAGTGATGAGGGTCCCTGGAAAGACCCCAAATATGCAAAGCCGCCTAAATGGGCCAGAGCGGATCCAGTTACCGGCAAAGACGCTGCAAACACCGTGCAACCTGCGCCGACTGATGGTGCTCAAGATCCAACCACGGCACAAGCGCCTGCCCCCGCCACAGCCCCTGCGCAGGCTGAGAGTGCGCCAGGCGAAGGACCGAAGATGCCCCTGGAAGAGACTGCAGGATCGTAGGTATTTTTATCTCAGACCATTGTCAAAGATTGCGCAGCAGGAAGAAGCCCCATGGCATGCCTACAGATTTTGAAGAAGGTGGAAGAAACAGAAGAACAGTATGCCAGTACCTAAGCTCAGAGCGATGCCTGGATCTGCTCGCTGTACATTTTGACGATACATTGGCTTTCGGAAGAGATCTTCTGATATTTCCCCCCGAATACACCTCACTTCATGAAGCGTGAGCTTTCTTCATTGTCCCCCTATCGCTTCTTGAGGCAGACCTGGGAACCGTTGCCTACCTAGACAGGCGACCACCAGATTGTTGGTAGCTCAATATAATCTCGGCACCCGCCAACACCTACTAATTGGTCGTTTCTCACACCTTGCATCTCTGCTTGAGTTCCAGTCCAGAGACTGTCCTGTAGATTGGCCTCTGTCGAATAGCGACGGGACTTGATTCGGAACAGCGCGATTGACTCTTGGTTCTGGCGAACGCGGATTCCTTGCAGCACCGTGTCCGAGAACTCTGGACTTCCTTCTGGTCAATGCTCTCTTGAACTGGCGATCAGTAAGGTCGTTCATGTCGTGGGTATTGACGACGAGATGCCACGTCCACGAGGGGAGTGTATCTCCCTTGAGCTAGACATCCAATTGTCTGACCTCTCAATATCCGCAGTTCAATGCCGGAAGCCACGGTGCGAGAGACAACATTGGAATTGTCCACGTCTCTTGAGTCGAGGCCGGGGTTCATGGGGTCATTATCCTGCCAGAGCCAGAAGCGGCTCTGTGTAATCAATAACCGCTCACTCAAACTCCATGGCGACGGTCCTCGCACGTTGAACCTTGCCCAGAGTCTCCGTCAGGCTTGCACCATACACTTGAGCATCAGCTGCGTCCTCGGCTTTGTTAGCGCCGGCCAGAGCAGCAAGCTCGCTCGTTCCGCGTTCATACATGGCGTGGACATCGTCAAACCACCCGTCTCGTGGGGGCTTGAACTTGAGACCGTCGCCGTCTCCTCCCGCGGGTGCCTCTCCCGAGCTCGTAATATGCCGCTCGAATTCCATGTCGTCCGCCTCCATCTCTTCCCTCAACCGCTTCGCGAGCATCTCAGCGCCTTGCGCGGGGGCTGTCCTTCTCAGTTTGCTCACTTGCGTGGTCAACGTCTCGAGTTCGCCGTATAGTGCCGCGACTCTCGCCTGCAGCCGGCTGTCGTAGGGCTCGTAGACGAAGTCGACCCCTTCCCTCTCCCCCTTCTCTTCTCCCTGCTGCTGGGACGCAGACGCGGGAGGCGCCGCGCTGACACCAGGCAGAGTCGTCGCGTCCAGCCCGTTGACGGTGATGTTCTTGCACGCGCCATCCCAGGTGCGCGCAATGAATGCCTCGACGACCTCGCGCACCCGCGCGCGCAGCGGATCCTCGACCGCCGCCGCGTGCCCACTACTCGTCGCACCCGTGTCGTCTTGCGCTTGCTCACCCCTTGTTGTCGCTTGCTGGACGACGCCGTCCAACCGTATTACCGTCGCAGGAGGCTGGAGTCCATCCTGTCGCACCGCAGCCGAGGGGGGGAAGTGGAGATCGAGTTTCTGGCGCGCGCAGCCCGCGAGGTTCGACTGCAGGTACGTCAGGTCATTGGGGGATTGGAGTTCGACTTTGCGGTGGTGCCGGTCTGCGATCGGGTTAGGATGCGCAGCCGCCGTTGGTATGTCTACTGCATCCATGATTGTTGTTTTTTCTTACTGGAGATTTTAAAAGCGTTGGAGGTATCGAGGTGACGGAGGTTTCAAGATCGCAAGGTACCTGGCGTGGGCATGCTCGAAGGGTGTCATGGTTCCTCGCAGGTTGGGGACGGATAGACCAAGTCCTCGTACATAATTACTTGGATGTAAACAAGCTGGGGGTATCGATAGGGGTCTGGTGGAGCGGGCAAGGTACGAGTTTCTACGCGAAAAATGATTGGCCCTGGGGTTTCTACTCTATGTTTTGCCACCCCACGACATAAAAGTGGGCGCCGAGAAATTCATATCCGCCAACACGGACGAATATACGGGTTGGGAGAAAGTCATATCCAAAGGAACAAAAGATTGTGTTATGATGGTGTATTCACATTTTTCAAGTCTGGTAGCCTGTGGCAATGCGGTGATCTTGAGCTATCTGATTAGTCGCCAGACATGCGATATTTGCGATCACTTCCTTGCTGTTCCATCGCCACGTCCCGCTCCATGCTCGTAGTCTTACTTGGACTCGTCAAAGACGTAGGTCAAGTGGCAGCGACCGCAGTATTGTCTGTTGTGCATCGCAGCCATGAAAACACCAGCACCGCACTCCTTGGTTGGGCACTCGCGCCTCAACCGCTCAATCTTCCCATCACCATCGACCTTGTAGTATTTGAGGACAGCCAACTTGGTCTTCTTGCGCTTGTGCTTGATCTTCTTCGGGGTGGTGTAGACCTTCTTCTTGCGCTTCTTGGCGCCACCACGAAGACGGAGGACCAGGTGGAGGGTGGATTCCTTCTGGATGTTGTAGTCGGAGAGAGTGCGGCCGTCTTCGAGTTGCTTGCCGGCGAAGATCAGGCGTTGCTGGTCGGGGGGAATCCCTTCCTTGTCTGGTGGGAGATATCGTAAGCCTCCATGTGCAACTGAGACCAGCTCTTGTGAAACATACCTTGGATCTTGGACTTGACATTGTCGATGGTGTCGGAAGACTCCACCTCAAGGGTGATCGTCTTCCCAGTAAGTGTCTTAATGAAGATTTGCATCGCTGAAGATCTGATGGGACTTGTCAGTCTCTTCTTGGAGGTGGCGATGTAACAGAGGGAGACTGGGATAGTGCAAGAACGAATGCTGAGCAATTACTGGAAGCGCGGTGTCGAAAGCAAGCAGCATGGGTGAGAGAGTCTTACCTCGACAGCAATCTGTCTTCCTCAATCTTCTGAATGCAAAATGTTGCCTCAGTAGGTCAAAACTGGTTGAAGGAAAGAATCTCAAAACTAAAATGTGATAAAATCGGGTGGATGTGCGCAAGCCACTCGGCACACCTGCCTATACCCGGCCTTGGCGGAGTCAACCCCTGTCGCCTTCTCGGCTTTTGACTAGAGCTTCTTCACCACCAGACTACCAAGTTCACTCCCTATCTGTACCTAACTGGGCATCCCATCATTCCCATCGTCTCCACCAAACAAGTATGGTGATGCTGATGTTAGTCTCACTGCACAGAGGAATAAACCTCAAACCTAGGAGCATCTTGCAAGGTATACATGACTGGTAAGCTTGAAGGAGATACGCAAAGAATTCTGCTGGAACATATTGGTACGTGGCGAGCTTCCACGAAATGGGTGGCAAAAGCTCTTATCAGCGTGTCACAAGGTTGGGAGTGGTAAGGCCTTGTGAATTGATCATGATGTTGTGGTGCCCAAGCTGGATTGCCAAACATCCAAAGAGAAGGGCCGCAATTGTCAAGATTTGATGGCTTGATTCAATAGAAAGTTGGATCACTGATATTAGATATGTGAGTTGTTGTCAGACCTAAATCATTCTCACTTGGAGCCCAAAAGTACGAAATATGAGCATGTTCCGGACCATGGTGTTTATTTTTTTGCCGTCAATTGATGAAACTTTTCCGACATTCTCTGCCATTCCAGCCCCTGTCAAAGGCGTCCTTGACTGTGCGGAAAGACGCATCTTCTCACATCGCATTCCATACCATGATTCTAAATACTGATGGGGAGGCATCCATTTACTGGTCTGACTGTGAACCCATCGCTACCACTGCCCAGGTCCAGCCTGGACATATCACGTGACATTGAAGTTCCCTTCGTTGGCGAGCCAGCTCGGCATACCTACCCGGGGAAACCCATCATTGCCATACCAATCCGGTGGTGTTGTTTTGATGTTAAAACTCATAGTACAGGGAGACGGAACTTGGATCCGAGAGTCCTTCTTGGGCCTGAATGAGACATATGTGCATTGCTGACCTCTGTTGATGTACAACTGAGCCTCTATGGAAAGTCATCGGCGCGTTACCTTGGTTCGATTAAATACCTGCTTAGTGCCAAAGCCGGGGTACCAAGATCAATGCAGAGACACCTGCGCAGTCCAGAGAGCACGGCCTAGTTCATGATGAAGATGTACCAGATACTTGGACTTGTCAACGAGATCATCAACCCCGCGGCTCCATCATATATTGAAATCTCTTCGATCCCGAACCTCGGCATCCTGGCTGCCTCTTCCCTGGTCGTGTTGAATGAGCCCAGCGCAGCTTTTAGGCTCTAATCCACCTGGATCCTCTTTGATTTTGTCTTCAATGTCGATGTCCTAGGTACCAAAATGTAGTTTTAGCAAGGTTTGTTGCAGCGGTGCTTAACCTTTGGGCGGGGAGATCTACTGAACCCTCACGAGGACTGGCGCCATCTGAGACATGCTAGACCTGTGTCTCTGCTCCTCAAGTAACCTCGTGTCTGTGTGAAAAGACAAGACTTATTCCGTTACTTCGATTTGGAGCTTACTGACGGCAACAGATGGGAGAATGTGTTGCCTTGTCATATCGCAGGCAAAATACTTTGTACGTGCTGGTGTGATGTGCCGGGCATCACTAGGTACGTAATCAACCCTTTCGGGAATAGTGGGGCACTATTGAGGTTTTAAAGTGGTGGTTGCTTTGGGCGGTTGCCGTGTCAACATGGCTGTTTACGCAGCCGCCACTTCCGGAGCGACGGCCAGTGAGATCGCCGACAGGAACGAGACCAAGTCAATACTCATCACCTCCCCTCCAGTCCTGCAGTCACCTCTCTTATCCTCCTCTTCCACGTCCAAACCTCCCAAAGCTACTCTTGAACCGACCTCTCCTCTACAAGAAACCTCAAGACCTCCAGAACACTCAATCGAGAAGCCTCTCAGGACCCAGTTCTGATCCAAATCCACTGAATCTGCCCTGAGAGGGCCCATCCTTTGAGGAAATAACTGTCGCACACAGTCGTCTGCGACTGGTGAAAACAGTATAACACAAGACCGCTGCCCGGTCCG